TCTAGATACAGTCTTTTTTTCACACTGTGAAAGCCATGCATACATTCATGCAGATTCTTCATCCTTTAATTACTTTAAATATAATATAGGACGATAATATATGACGGCAACAATTTGAAAAGCGATACTCCGTTTATAGTGATTCAATGCAAAAGGCCGTTTCGAAACTAATATTCCATTTGCTAATAACGTCCTTTTTCGGCTAACAAAAAACTTTTATGCTAGCCATCTTACTAAGAAAACTAAGTAAACACTCATATGATAAGCTGAGAAAAGCGTGAAAAATATTTAAAAAAAAATATGCCAACACTTAAGCCTGCTTCAGGAATTGTAAATTTTGTTAAATTACATAAAAATTTTATAATTTTGCTGTTGAATTGTATGTGGCGTAAGTGTGAAAAAAATGATGCTTAAAATGAAACTAAAAAAAGAAAAAAACAAATGGGTTAGCAATGCGTGAAGACAACAGCAGACTAAGTAGACTGCGTGTACAGCGAGAGCATAAAACATTTTTAACAAGCCATTTTGGGCAGCCGTTAAAATCTGAAACCATTCAGATTTTTTTTTTTTAATGTTTATTTCTTTGTATAAGCGAAATCAGTACGTCTCTCCCACAACTCCTCGCCATCGACTCGAACTGAACGATGCTATAACCTAACTCTTTCTATACGCACTTGTAAAGAATTTTTTCTTATTTTTCATCTTTGCTTGTCTTTTAACAATAATTGAACAAGTCAGAGTTTCACCCTATCATCGCCTCTCCTGGTCTTGGGCTTAGTCTGCGCGTTTCTCTAAACTTGTGATGTCATGCTGTCACCCCCTCTTCTCACTACTGATGCCTGTGTTGGTACCACACCAAGTTTGGCGAAAAATGCAACAAACCTTGCACTTTTAAATCGGAAAACTAGACGGCCAAGCGTGTGTGGCGACGAACGCCATAGGCCAAAATAATTGCCGCCTTCTTGGATATGAAAAATCTTTAAGAACACATTTTTTTGGTTGACACAGGCGCTGAATTGTTTGCTTTGCCTCCTATTCCACAAGACTGATGTATACCAACATCATTGCCCAATTTAATTGCAGCAAATGGTACCAAAATTAATGTACTCGTATATAGAAAACGTTTAGTCAATTAAGAGATAGGTCTACGCTGAATTTTTCCATGGACTTTTGCTATTGCTAATGTTTCGCGACCAGTTTTGGGCGCAGACTTTTTAAGTAATTATGGTATTATTGTTAATTTGAAATCCAAAAAATTAAGTGACAGCATGACTAACGTTGAGTCAGATGGCAAGGTATCACGGGATACTATATCCAAAATTACATTTTTACAACCGTTACATGTGTTTAATGATTTACTTGAAAAATATGATTCTCTGTTTCAAGATGTTTTAAAACAGCCTTTTGGATAACAATACTCTTGGAATTACGCACGTAATCGAAATTAAAGGTTCTCCAGTAGCAGCTAAGGTTAGGCGCCTAGCGCCTGACAAATTGGCTACCGCAAAAGCGGAATTCACTTATTTAGTGCAAAAAGGCCTTTGTAGCCCTTCTAAAAGCTCCTGGAGTAGCCCTCACCACATGGTAAAAAAAACCGGATGGGTCTTGGCGGCCTTGCGGGAACTATCATAAATTAAATTCAATCGCTGTTCCAGATAATTATCCAATTAGACATCTACAAGATTTTACATCTAATTTGAGCAATAAAACTGTTTTTTCGACATTAGACCTCAAGAAGGCATATCACCAAGTATCAATGAATAAAGAGGACATACCAAAAACGGCAATAGTTATTCCTTTCGGATTATTTGAGTTCAACTACATGACATTTGGTTTACATAATGCTGCGTAAACCATGCATAGATTACTCGATCAAATTCTGCCAGATTTAAATTTCTGTTTCTTCTATATAGATGATATTTTGATTGCTTCATCATCCCTCGATTAACATATACTTCATATCGATGAAGTTTTTAAGAGATTAAAAAGTCATAATTATACTATCAACCTTCCTAAATGCACATTTGCTGCAGAACGCGTAATATTTTTAGGTCATATTATCGAAAAAAATGAAGTCATTGCTTTACCAGAAAAAATTAAAGTTATCCAAGATTTTCTCAAACCCAAAACTATTAATAAACTCAGATGTTTTTTTTTGGGAATTCTTAATTTCTATAGAAGATTTTTAAATCCTGCTGCTGAAGTTCAATTTCCTTAAAATGGTATGCTCGAACGTCGTAAGAAAAATGACAAAACACCTTTAGATTGGTCAATAGACACTGAAACAGCCTTTGAGTCCTGTAAACAGCTTCTGACACAGGTTACAAATTTAATGCACCCAGACCCAAAAAAGAAAATTGCTCTCATGTGCGACGCATCAGACAAAGCCATAGGCGCTTTTTTCCAACAACACAATACTCAAATATGGGAACCATTAGGAGTTTTCTCCAGAAATTTGAGCGATACAGTACGTACGACCGAGAGCTGTTGGCAATATTTGCCGCTATCAAATACTTCAGATATCTGCTTGTAGGTACGAACTTTCAAGTATTTACGGATCATAAGCCACTCACAAAATAATTTTTCCAAAAGTACTCGTATGACAAGCTCTCACCTCGACAAATTAATCAACTTAATTTCATCGGCCTGTTCACTACTGATATTCAACTTGTGAGTGGTGCAGAAAATGGACCAGCCGATGCTATTTCTCGCATCGAAATGGTTGCTAATGTCATTCCTGTTAACTATGAATCTATGTCGAAAGCACAACAGAGTGACACTGTACTCCAATCCTTTTTAGACAAAGAAAATTCAGTTCTGCTATTAAAAAAGTTAAAAATGCCTGAGAATTCTATAAAACTGTATTGCGACATTTCGCATGAGAAAATCCGTCCTTTTGTTCCAGACAGTCATAGAAAACTTTTCTTTTCAGCTCCGCATAATCTTTCCCATCCTGGAGCTAAAGCAACGCTAAAGTTAATTAGTGACCGATTTGTCTGGCCCGGAATGAAAAAGGATGTCACGAACTTCGCTAAAACTTGCCTACAATGTCAAAAGGCTAAAGTATCTCATCATGTACACTCTCCTTTAACTACTTTCATAGTTTCAGATGAACGTTTTTCTTATATCAATAGAGATTTGATTGCACCTCTTCCGTCATCTCAAGGAATGTCTTACTGTCTGACATGCATCGACAGGTATACTCGCTGGCCTGAAGCGTATCCATTGAAAGATAGACGGGGAGAGACCGTCGCTACTGCTTTATATGCTGGTTGGATCTCAAGATTTGGTCTGCCTGCTCAGATCACCACTGATCGTGGTAGTCAATTTCGCAGTGAACTCTTTCGAGAACTAGCCAAGTACTTTGGTATTCGCCTTTCTCACATCCCCTCGTATCACTCACAAGCCAACGGCATCATTGAAAGGTGGCACAGATCCCTCAAACAATCCATAATGAGTCACACATCCGTACACTGGACTATCGCATTACCTTCAGTTCTTTTGGGACTTCGGACTACTTTCAAAGGGGAAGTTAACTGCTCTCCAGCCGAACTAGTGTATGGCCAAACTTTGCGTCTTCCAGCACAATTCTTTATGCCTCCTGAGAGCAACATTCCGAGGAGTGACTAAAACATTTCAATCATAATCTGGAACATCTCCACCCGACTGCTACTACCAATCACTCTATAAAACAGATCTTTGCGTATAAACACTTAGATAAATGCTCTCATATTTTTCTACATGTAGATCCGGTAAAACCCTCCTTGCATTCACCTACATGGGTCCGTACAAAGTACTTCGACGTGGTGATAAATCTTTTACCATATCTAAACAAGGACATGATATCAGTGTGTCTATCAACAGAGTAAAACCTGCTTATTTAGTCCCAAATGATGTATCTGAACCTTTTAGTTTAACTGATGTAGATAAGGCCTCATCGCAGCGACCAACCTATCCAGTAAACGAACAGCCACCTGAAAAAAGTGCTCCTGCGAAAGCAAAATATCTAACTCGTTCAGAAAGTCGTGTCCACTTTCCCAAACGATATGTGGAAGACTTAATTTTTCCCTCTCTTTTTCAGATTGTTAGGGGATTTCCTTTTTCCAGGAAGGGAGATGGTATAGGGCTACTTCCCCCCCCCTACTTTCTTCGCCGCTTCGAGTTCTCCTCTTCCCGCATGAGCAATAAGAATATCATCTCTGCGCGACTGCAAAAGCGAACATTTCGCCTTCTGTTTTTACAAGTTCATGTACGCGTTTTACTCATCGCTGAGATTCCCGTTATTTATTGCCGTGTATGTACTTTGATTAATTAAAGAATTTATTTTTCTAAATTGGGTGCCTAGCTATTAAATAGACCCCCAAAGCTATAACTTTTGTGATTATTGAGATATAAGCGCTTTACAGGGACATGTTTTGCATCTTAATTTTTTTGTCTCTAATATTGTTATTGAGGAACGTAGTCCCTATGTTAAAGGAGTGACTGCCTTTTTTCTCCTTTAGCGAAATTGTCAAGTATTCGCGTTCTTGGGTTCAAAGTTTAGCCAGCTTAAACGGACGTTTAGGAATATAGTCGTTTTGATTCTGCTTACTAACAATAGCAGCAATGATAACGCTACAGCACTAGTTTATTTTTGAAACATCTGTAACAATTAGCACGAATTAGGCCTTTCCACTTTTCAAACTGCCAGGATTAGCAGAAAAATATCCAGATTCTCCTGTTCTTATGGAACTTACGCATTGTGTTGCATTATCTATATAACTTAAAGACAATAATATACTCCATGATGCACTTGAAGAATCTAAAACTATTTACGTTATCATTCCGAATGTCTCATATATAATCTGATTGAACAATTTGAAGCTTAAATATCAAAAACTGATAAGAAATGTAAAGACAAAACATTCATATAAATAAGGCAAAAGTATTACTTCTAGATTTTATGCTTAATATAAAAACTGCAATGCATACGAAATTATAAAAATATATGCAGTACTTACCATACAAGAATAGTAACAGAACAAAATGTTTGTTTCGTATGATGCGAAGTGCAGAAGTTTTATACGGTATACATGTTGATTGTTCTTTGAGTGCTTGACATTGACTTGGTGGATTTAAGGGCTCATCCTGAAAGGCTGAAGAAAGTAATATTTTTAAGGTTTAAAAAATTATTACAAAACTGTGAAGCTCTGTTATCAATACTGACACAACAAGCATGATGGAAGCATAGAAAGAGACTGACATGCGCACTAAAAGTGTGTAGCGCAAGAAATCACTTCCAACGTTATTTTTAGAAATGAGTACGATCTTCATCAAAATCTAGCAACAAGCATTACTTCGTTTCTTCTATATATATTTACGGATATATTTGGGTACTTAATGTACTATCTCGTCGATCATGATGTTGGCATAGATTCCCACAAATGCTGTGCCAATCATTTCTGCGGAATTCTGAAGAAACTGGCGCCCCTTCATTTAATAAATGATCAAATTTGACCTGCTTTATTTTTGCGCTTCATTAGAAAACTTTCGTCAGTTTCTATTATTTTGTTCCGATTATTTCCTTTCGATTTTACCAAAAGCTTCATTTAGAACAAGTTGCAAATAACTGTTCCAGTCTATCACTGTTTTGTCAGTCATATTCAACTGACCTTATCGTGTCCAACATTGAAAATAATCCACTACTTGCTGTTCTGTAGATGCCAAGTCCGATTTGCTTTTTCAAAATTCAAGAAAGTACAATAATAACAGTTAATGTGTACATTTGTTCATAAAAAGCAAAACGTGGCTTATCCAGAATTAATCAAACTTATGTGAGAACGAAGGCAAGATGTTATGAGTATGATGTTACTCGACGCTTATCCCAAATTGGCTCTAAATGGAAACAGTTTCTCGGCACGTCATAATTTACATTTATTTTTAATGAATAACTAATTTTTTTGGCGATTTTTTTAAAATTCCGAATATAATTGAGGCAAGAACATGAACTAAATTTTGTTTTGCAATGAAATTTATGCTACAGACCTTTGAAGATATTATCTAAAACAAGAGTTTCTGAGTGATATAAAATATTTTATTCAGAGAAAGGTTCAAAGATAAACTGTGCTGTGGTAAATCATTCACTTCAACTAATGAGTAACACATTGATCAAGTCAGAGATTTGGTGGTAAGCGATATACTTTAAATATTATGATATTATTGAACATGATCTTGTATTATTCAGATCCTGTCAAGCAATTTTAAAAGATCATTTGAGCTTGCGGTGTGCCGCTTTTCAAGTTGTTCCCGAATCATTGAATATTTCCCCCCCCCCCGGGAACTTAGGAGTTCCTCCTAAAACGCAGTATTATAGTTTATGACACACGGATCTATGATTTTGAAATAGAAGAAGCTTTAATAATAAATCAAGCAAACAGAGCTTGAAAATATCAAAACATCAAGCAAAACTAAAAAATTAAAAGTCGGCTAAAATATCAAGATTAATGCTGTCAATTTTCTTCGCAATTGTGATGCTGTGCAACAGGAATTTCTATTTACTTGTTTCAATTTACTAGTTAAAATGAGAGCAAGGAAAGCTATTAGACTTTTTTTCGGTGTTTTCATGAAACATTCTGTAGAAAATTACCTGAACTGCTGTGAGATAACAAATGGGTTATGCATCACGATAATGTACCTTTTCACAGTGGAATTATTGATAGTGAATGTTTGTCTGTGAATGAAATTAATGTGAATGAAAAAATAAAACAAATATAGATCCTTAAGTTCCGCATTAATTACTATGATACCCTGAGATTTCGTTTCGAGTTTTGAAGATGTTTTATGAAAATGACTTGAAACTATTTGTCAAATTTTGTCAGAAAATATTAACTTAAATATGTTGCAATCAAAGGATATCACCTGAAGAGGATATAAAAAATATTGCCCCATATTTTAAAACCTTGAACGATATGGAACTATTCCTGATATCTTTTGATCATTGTAGTACAACTGTTTTACGTTTGCGTAATTTTACCTTCCAAGAGTGTATGACTCTGCAAAGTATATGTAACGAAACTTAATTTTATTCCTGTATATGCTGATATTGTATGAATAAATATAATTCTGTTCTTTTCTAACACAGGCCTTCAAAAGAACTACTTCCATGCAACTGAAACTGGATGCACTTGCATTTTTAAAAGACTGGCACAAAGATTTAGGATTAGGATAAGACATTTGTTTAAAATATTGTTTTTACTTTGTTAAACAATAATTATTTTTACTTCATTAAAAATGTCGAGTTTTATGCCCAAAACTCTGTTATGGACAGAGGTAAATCGAATTGAATATCTCAACAAAATTAGCGGAAACTGCTTCCGCAATGTAGCAAGCTGCTACAGTAATTAAAGTTTTTTTTTTAAAATTTTTTTAGCGAACAGTACAACTTTATAGTCTATTACATTATGACAGGAACTTCAATGCTATTTTCTCCTCCGGTCGTTGTCTCGTAACCATAGGAATGACAACTACAATAGGCAATCTGACCTTCCTATAATTATTTTTTACTACTTCATTTCCCTTCAGAGAGTCTTTCGCTTTAATGAAAAGCGCGCGAATGAATGCTCAGTTAAACTACAGTCTCAGATAAGGTGGATCAAATAAGTTCTGGACGACGATGACGACTTGTGTTATGATCGCAAATTTAGCAGGTCTTGCAACGGCCTTTAAATGCCTATTATAAAATGCCAAACTGTAGTAAGTTCCAACTTGCGCCCCTTTGTAGCTTGGTAATGCCGCTTTGTAATCAAATCGATATTACAGACCTTGCCATGCATTCTTCCCTCTGCAATATTTAACACCGTATTTTGATACACTGAAGGCCAGCCTTCAGTGTATCATTATCATGAACTCGTGAGGCAAAGACTCGGTCCTTGATATGCCCTATATGCAATTCAGAAACGTTGTCAACAATCACATCACTTATTGTGAACCTGCCACTTCTTGGAAGGTCACCAATGATGCCAGTTCCTTTAAAAATTTTATATAAATTTCTTACGTCCTTCTTAACATCTCAGAATTGCATTCTTACAAACTTCCAAATCTCCGTTGATAGGCTATTTAATTTAATGATTCCACAAAAACAGTCAGCGTTTTACTTTCATCGACGCCTTTTCGTTACTAACTATTCCTCGGCACCATCAACTACATGGTGAAATAACTTTATTAATAGGACTAAGTATTTTATACACATTTCACACTTCTATCTTTTGCGACCATTTTGTATAAAAGTTTTGATATCAAGGACAGACTTCTTGCTCACTCTGTATAGTGAATTGAAACAAAAAAGAAAATGTGATCATACTTAAAACTGTCAAGACTAGCATTCCAATGTTCGCTGTCGTAAGGATCAATGCCACATTAAACTTGCCGTTTTCAATCAGATCTTTCCTTGAACAGTCACTGAATACCATAAAAGGAGTAAGAAGAAATCCACAAGCACCGCCAAGCTGAAAAAAGGTGCAAATGGTTATTACATATAAGCTAATAATTTTATTCATCTACAAAACCTTTGTGATATATACATAAAATCGTTCGTGCCACCAAATTCAAATAGAAATTTGTACTTGGTCGTTGTCTCGTAAGTCTATTTTTAGGGTCCCCCCCCCTAGCTGCTGTTTTAAAATTTTGTTCTATATCTTCATGATGCCAAATGTGGACGCATATTTTTTTAGAGGAATTTTAGAGATATTTCCTTTTCCTAAAAATACACTATTTAAACGGCTCCAACTCATATCGCAAACTATAGCCGAATGGCAGCGGTTTTAACCATAGTCACTCACAGCCAGAATTTCGAGCTGGTTTACGAGTTTAAAGCAGTCCACCCAAAAGAAAGATAACATGCTTAAAATTAAAAGCTTAAAGGTTAAACAGCTGAATACCTTGGTTTGAGAAAATGCTTTTGATGCTATACAATGATGGAAATATTCCACAAACTGAGAAAGAAGTAAATAATTTTGCTATGTATTTTTTAATATTTTGTTAGTTAAGCTATTACGATAATCTCAGCGCTTTTTGGGTAAGGAGGGCTATAATAGAATTATTGCACACATGTTGTAACTACGTTTCCCTGAAAAACTTTAATATAAATTTAAAATTTTATAAAACAGTAATCAATAAATATGGTACTTAACGCCTTTTCCTGTCGACTGTGAAGCTGTCGCCAAGCAGCTCGATTTCGCGCCACTTATGGGTAAGCGTTACGTAATAATAATTTGGACTTTCGTTTGATGTAACCTTTATTGAGTCTCGAGAAGGCATGTATAGTTTTTATGAATAAACATATAAATTAACTGTTACTCTGTATTTGTTCTTGCATTTTGAAAAAAATGTAATTACAATCTAGGAGCAGTCTTCTAGAGAACAGAAAATAGTAGATTATTTTCAAAGCTATGTAATTTTACTATTAAAAACGTGTGTATATGTGGGCACGATATGGTCAGCTGAACATGGTTGACAAAACAATCAGAGATCGGAATAGTTATTTGCGACAAGTTTATACTCCTAGCATTCTAAACAGGGTTTCCCATTAATTCGGAGGACCTAACAAACCTGTGTAAATCAACGGTACGTTTTACATGAAGCGATTAGACTATTGATTGTTTATTAAAGAAAGTGGTGTCATTTTCCTCAGAATTCCAGAGAAACGATTTTCACAACTTTGGCCGGATCTCCGCCGACTTTCCTGGTTCGATAGTAGCTAAATTTCATGCTCGACGGGATAATATGAAAGTACCGTATATATGTATATATGTGTTATTTACAATGTTTTTGCTAATTTTTGATCAATTTTCTGTTTTTACACGGACAGATGTGAAATATTTATATATTCACATGGACACCTATTTAATAAATATATGACCATGTAGTTTTGGGAAAACTTTCAAAAGTATAAACAGTACATATATATTGTTGGTTATAATATTCACAATATAATATATATTCTGTTCATATTCCGTAAGGAAGTCTTTGACTTGCTTGTCGTATCATGTAGCTTCTCTTTATTTTGGTCATTTCAAAAATGTATGTTTTAATTGCTCTAATTGTTCAAAAACAAAAAACTAGAGAATAATTTCTGCACTTTATACAGCTCATCTCAAATATTTAAATGAAATTTATTTCGAAAGTTTTATTGAAAAAATATTATATTTATGGAACATTTATGGAAGAAATTTTAACAGCTTAGGATCAAAACTGATGACACTGAAAAATAACTCTGAAAATTAAATTTTAACTCATTAATGTGCCCTTGATATCAATTTTTATGGAATTTGCCGTGCTTATGTAGATATAAAGTATTTTCTTCCTCCTTCCAGCATGCCTTCGTGGTGTGACGATAGCACATTCAGTGCGTATATTCGAGAGGGATGGCTTCGAGTCCCGGCAAGGGCACTGCTCATGTTTCATGTACTCCTCCTTCAAAATAACCTAATGACTCTACAGTGACGTCATAACTAAAAGGTGGCAGACGATAACTCGTCACCACCAGGAGTTGGCGATTCGGTCCTCTTCTTCTCAGCTGTACTTTAAAAGGGGAAGTATATAAAGTACTTTCTCCTAATTCCACCATGCCATTTTCTCTTAACTCCTATGCTACTTGCCGCGGGGGCTAATTGCTCCTCTCTTTGCGGCTAGCCCATGAAAGAGGACTTTTTTATCGATCTCTTATTATCTTTAAATTAACCCGTCGGCTTTTCTTTTCATTTCTTTAGCGTATGCTCTTTCTTGTTATGTCGCGTATTTTAAT